GTTTCTGCACCGTACGTAACAACCGGCCTAATGAGAGTCTTGTACAGCTTCATCTTTGTGTTGCGGGTCACCAGCTTGGATTTGAGGATACCAAGGTTAGCATAATATGCCCTGTTACCAGCCATGATTCGGTTTGTGATTTCTTGCGCAACAGTGTTTTTGCTGTTCAGCTCTGCCCCAAGGTAAACAAACCTATACACACCCTTAAAACAATAATTGCCTACATCCAAGTTTTGGATTCTTCTTATGGCCTCTGCTTCAGACATTTTCATGTAGTGTGTCTTTTCCTCATTTATTTCCAGACCCATACGACTAGCCTCCTCTTCAATAGTCTGAAACATTTCTTTTAGGTCTTCAAGGCGTCTAGCAACAAGCGCTATGTCATCTACGAGTAATGTTCCCTCTCAGGTCTAGCCTACACATAGCACTATGCAAGGCCAAATTAAAAAGCAGAGCTGATAGCGCATCACCCTGCCTGACACCTCTTGAAATCCTGAACACTTTACTTTGTTTACCACCCACTGCTACTAAACTATAAGTGTGTTGTAATGTAACTTTTGTGAGCCGCACCAGCTTCCCTGGAAAACCATAACACTCAAGGGCATCAAGTAGTTTTCTCCTGTCTATGCTGTCAAATGCCTGTTTAAAGTCAATGAACAACATGTGCAAATCAACTGCGTATTCATAAGTCTTTTCCATAGTCTGGCGCATGTTAAATATTTGATCAATAGTTCCTCTTCCTGGTCAGAATCCACATTGGTACTCCCCGAGTACATTCTCTGTGAAGGCGCTAAGTCGCATGGCCAAAATAGCAGAGAATATCTTGTACGCTACATCCAACAAAGTGATACCACGGTAGTTACTGCATGCTAGTTTGTCACCCTTTTTGTACACAGGAGTAATTACTCCATTGTTCCAGCTGCTGGGAAGAGATTCCTGTCTCCAAATCATTAATATAAGTTTGTGTAAACAGCACGCCAATTCTTGACCACCATGCTTCCAAAGCTCAGCATTAATCTTGTCTTCACCTGGCGCTCTGTGGTTCTTCTGCTTCTTTATACATATCTCGACCTCTTCTAAGGAGGGCTCTTCAATCCAAGGATCAGCGGTGTGATATTTTGGCTGCCAGTCCAACGCTCGGTCTTCTCCGGTATGGTTTCCATTTAAGAGTTCTGTAAAGTGTTCAGCCCATCTGTCAAGGACTCTGGTTGCTTCCTCTATCAAATTTCCATCCTTGTCTTTGCAAGCGTTGACTCGCGGCTGAAAACCTTTAGTCATACGTTTGATCGCAGTATAACATTTCCTTGTTTCATTTTGGTCATCTAAATTCTGAATTTCCTCTATCTGGGCCTTGATGTGTTGTTTCTTTTTGTTTCTTAGTATTCCATTTGCTGTTCTTCGGCTTTCTTTATATTCTTCAGTTGTCTGTCTTGTTGGCCTTTGCAACATTCTTTGTCTCTTTCCATTCTTACGCATGATTGCATCCATACACTCATTGTCGAACCATTCTGCGTTTCTTACTAATTTTTTTTCACCTATAGTACTCTCAGCAGCTGTGTGTATAACTTCCTTGATCGATTCCCATGCTTCTTCTATATTTCCATTATTTGCATCTTGTAAAATAATATTTTCATGAATAGCCTGCTGGTATTCTCGTTCTCTGACGTTGTCATTGAGCAGATCACAATTCCACCTTTTCTTTTTCACTCCAGGGCCATTTGCAACTAAAGAGATTTTCTCCTTCACAAAAGCTTTAACCAGAAAGTGGTCAGAGTCACAATTAGGTCCCCTACAGGCTCTCACATCCATGATTGAAGTTGCATGTCGCTTGCTCACCAGAACATGATCTATCTGATTCACACAATTCCTGCCTGGCATTTTCCATGTACCTTTGTGGATATCTTTATGCGCAAAGGAGGTACTCATTACTACGAGGCCATGTTCTGCGGCAAACTGGGCCAGCAGCCTTCCGTTTTCACTTGTTTCATTATGTAACGAGTGTATACCAGCAATTCCCTTCAGGAAATCCTCCTTGCCAATTTTGGCATTAAAATCGCCTACAAGGATACACATGTCATACTTGGCAATTTTCTTACATGTGTTGCTTAACTGATCATAAAAACTTTCCTTTTCGTCATCACCTGCATCCTCAGTGGGCGCATATGCAGAAATCACTGAGATGTTTCTGAATTTCCCTTTCAATTTGAGTTTGCATATCCTGTCACTTACTGGTTCAAAGGCCAATAAACTTTTACGGGTTTTAGCGTTTAATATGAATCCAGTTCCATTTAGTCCTGTTCTCCTTTCCGGGCCACTGTATAACACACTATAGGTTTTCTTGTCTATTCTTCCATTTCCCTTCCACCTAACCTCTTGCAAGGCCAAGATGTCTAAATTGAATTTTTCCATCTCCAGTGCAATTTCCTTCATTTTACCTGGCATCAACATCGTTCTCACATTCTATGTTGCTGCATACAAAATATTTTCCTTTTTCCGTTTCTGAGTCCATTGAGCATTTCCAAGTCCGTATCCTGTATTTCCATCCAATCTCCGAGGCTCATTTTGCAGATTCGTAGCCATTTTCTTTTGACAGGGTGGGGTTGCTAACCTCACGCCCAACCCCCAGCCTGGAGAACCAGGAGTTTATTTAGAGTCCTCTTCTCCTAGGTCAATTGCTTCCACCACAGCTTCCAGACCCCGACCTGGCCATGGTTTAATTTCAGAGTTTCCTTCTCCTAGCCTTTGGGTGCCTAACCCTATCGTACAAGGCAGTACGGGCAGTGCTTATTTAATGGCGGCACTTCCTCGCCATGACACAGTACTATCATCGGGCTCATGTGGACTTGCTGAGTGTGACCCCGCCACAGATCACCCTCCCACGCCCTCTGGTGCTGCCGCCTCGGTCCGGGACTGCTTATTCGGGTTATCCCTTATTCACAGCTGTCCACCATATCTGATGGAACGTTCGCCATCCGCCAACTGCGACCCGCCCTGTACCTGAGGCTCGGTTCCCCTATTAGAGCTTGGACTAAAGGGGAGGGTATTATTATTATTAGGCCTATTACAATATTCTTTATCATAGTTGTCAGCTCGTCAGCTGATATGTTTCAATTCGTTAATAAATAAATAAATAAGAATTTTATTGCTGTTAGCCTAAGCTTTACAGCAATAGACAAAGTCAAGTATTAAGCTAAATTAAATCTAATTGATATATCGGATCGAAAAACAAAATATCGAAAAGAAATCATCAATAAGAATGAATATTCCCTTTAACAGGAAAATACCAAACAAATTCACTTAGTCTGCAGGTGTGCTGTGGCGGGGCATTTTAATTTATGTTATATCCAGACTTTTAATTTATTGTTTTTCACCCACTATTTCATTTGTGCAAACACAAAACTCAAACATAAACCGAAGTCAAAAATGGCAGCCGTTGAAAGATTCTTGAATTTGTAATTTTTTACTCAGTTGTCCGTTTAAGTTTTGGTTTGTGGTATTGTATTCACTAATAAAGACTTTATTTAGGCCTAATGTGTATATCAGGCTATGCTTGCATTTATAATTTTCTTCTGACTTCTAATTGGCCAGTTGCCTGACTTTGAGGAGGCGAATCATTGCTTTGCAAATTCAAGAAATCTTTACTGAGCTGCCATTTTTGACTCAGTTGTCTGCTTAAGTTTGTGTTTGTGGCATTGTATTTTACAGCAAAGAATCTTAATTGTATGTGTATATCAACTTATGCTTACATCAAAGATTTTCTTTTAACTCCTAGCGGCCGCTTCCCTGAGGAGGTAGCGTAACACTGAATACTTACTTAGGCATACTTGATGCTTACTTGAATGAACACTGGTATCCTAAAGAAAGATGTTCTTGGCCTCACCCACACACTGCCTCCAGGTGTCTCTTTTCTTGAGCATCATTCTCCCTCCTTCCTAATCTTCTAATATCTTTTTAAAGATGATCCTTCCATCTGAGCTTGGGCCGTCCTGGTGGTCTCTGTCTTCAAGGTTTCTATTACGTATGTTGTTCATGGTGGAGTTTTGCATTCTTCCATACTAATGCCCAAACCGTCTCAACCATCTACTTTTGACTTCTGCTACGATGTCTGGGTCTTTGTAGCGTTCTATAATCTCAGTGTTATGCCTTTTCCTCCATACTCCATCCTCGAGCGTCGGGCCAAATATCTTCCTAAGTACTATGTTTAAATAACAATTGCTGGGACACAAAGGCTGCCGACAACCGACTCTCGACTACAGACATTTGACAACAAAGTCTTAGCATTGTTACAGAAATAACAGGGTGCGGAGTCCTGTTATTGGCAGGCAAAAAACGTTGCTGGGAAATAGCAATAACTTGTATCTGTACTGGCTAAGTAATAAACAGTAACTTATTATTACAATTAAAAAAAACTTGACACCTAAGAAAAACCCTCTAGCTAATGAATGACAGTGGAGCTATTAGAAAAATATTAACTGTCACAAAACCAATAAACAAGTTTCTCCTAGGCAACTTAACATTGTGTCACATGGTAAACAGCTTGTAACAGCCTGGGAGACACCTTTTGCAAAATACCCTACTTTCAACCCCTGATGAAAAGTAAAAAAAAAAGTAGACCCTAACTTAACACAGCCCTTTCATAAAAGTTACTGTACTAAACCACTAAACTTCTGCTGGTTTAAATTGGAAAATTGAGTTTATTTATTTATTTAAATAGACGGCATACACAATTTTTTTCACTTGTTTAAAGGAATTAAATAGAATATTCCAGGTCTTTTCAGGTGACATAACTCAGCAAAAAAGGTGTTCAATAGATAAATAAAATAACAAGAGTATTCAGTTTTTGTAACTATTGTAGTAGGACTCATTATGGTATGTTATTTTTAAGAAGATGCAGTATCTTTTCATGGTTAACAGTTTCAATTAAAATAACTCTTGATTCATTTTCAAATTTGTAATAATTAGCTTGCATTTGAATCTAAAATTCTATCTATGTTTTACAGATGCAATCAAAAGAAAAAACAAATAATAAGGTCAAACTATGTTCAAGCTCAGTGTGTTCTCCAATACCATCAAATTCACCTACATTAGGATACAGGTAGAAATAATATATCATATTATAGAAACCTTTTATTTACTTAAATTTGCTGTTTTTAAATAAGTATAGAGCTTACTTTAGTTTAGTTGCAAGTTGAATTTGATAAACTGTGCATTCAGGCAGACATTTCCAAAACAGTTTCATAAACTATCCTTCAAACTATGTCAAAATAAAAAATGAATTTGGTAACTTGGTCATGGTAACACATTTTAGCCCAATGTCTATTTCTTTCTAATAAAGCATACAAATAATAACGTTAATTTGAAAAGAAAATTATTTTTCACCACATTATCATGTTTTTAGCTGTTTTACATACCTTAATTGGCCATGTTAAGGTAGTAGACTAGCTGTCATCGTCATTTGGGGACCGAGCAGGTTTTTACATCCCTATGGCCGCAAAATCAGCTGTCCGCTTAACTTTCTTAAAACATTAATGCATATTAAATACACAATCAGTATCCATAGCATTGCAATAGAATTGTTTTACTGTCATCGTTGCCTAGCAACTATTTATCATTATTTTTGCAGATTCCTCAATTTATTTCTTCACATAATCTTAAAGTTGTAGTTGTGTTGACTATCAGTGTGCATTATTATTGTGGTGAATAGTGGGACATTAAATAGGTTTTAGTGTGGTGAAAAATAGCGTTCGTACCACGGGCCGAAATGGTTTTGCAGCTCTCGATCGTTTTAAGTTCTCGACTTTGTCTTGAACTTAAAAACTATCTCAAGCCGCCAAAACCTCATTTTCCACCATAGGTACAAAATATACTATTACAGGTTAGCAAGTTTCAGGAAAATGAGCTTATGAAATCAGATAGACTCATTTAAGCTGTGTAATGAATAGTCTTTATGGTATTTACCATATTATGGTAAATTTTATTATGGTTATTATGGTAAATTTTTATCATTTTTTACTACACCTTTAACAGTTTGTTTTTAACATGTGATGGCTTACATGTAAAACCTTGCAAGTCTGATTTATTTTATTTTCGATAATTCTATGGAAAAAGATTCTACTTTTCATTTGATCCAAAATTACACAAAGGCTTGTATGTCTAAGTTAACCTTAACGCTATCTACAGGCAGTTGAAAAAATGTGTGTCTCTTGTGTCTGGAGCAGGTCAGTGAGTTCAGGTCATTATCTTTTTTTCTATGGGACCTAGCACTTTGCATTTGTTTTAAAATTATTCCTAATGAAATTCTACTTTAGAATTAGTAAATAAATATACAGAAATATAAATTTATAGTGTTGAAAAATGTTGATAATATTTTTGTTTAGTTGTGTAAGCAATAACTTTGAACACATACAACTAAAAAATATAAAATCCCTGTAAACTCATGTTATTATCTTGTTCCTTGTTTAATCCTAAAGGTCCAATTCCTATCCTGTGACTGTTATGACTCTAGCCGCGTGTCTAGAGTCGTACGGCTTGAGACGCTTGCTTCAATTCCTATGCCGCGACTCCCACGACTAGTGACTAGTGCAATTGCATTATTGACCGTCATGGAATAAGCACAGTTGGCAGCGAATATATTTCTTGGAGAAAAGGAGGAAAAGGAAATATTAATGTTCATGGTAAAAAACAATGAACAATGAACCTATTGATTGATTGTAAGAGGGTGGACTCATGGTCCAAGCACGTCAACCGAAGCTTATTGTGCATCCCGCTTGCCACTAACTGGGTAAGCCTATGTCTGTGTCCCTAACTAGGTGCAGGAGTTTTTGCCCAATGTTAGCGTCTGGTTCCTCACCTGGCTGCTTTAGACCAAACAGAGCCCTTCTCCTAGCCCGTAGTCCATCGCAGTCCAGAATAATGTGTTTTGCAGTCTCATCGGACTGGTTACAAAGTCGACACTCCTGCTGGTAATTGACAATTCCTAGAGTGTGGAGATGTTTCCTGAAATGGCCGTGTCCAGTGATAAGAGCAAGTACCTGCTTGACCTGCCCTCTCCCCAGCTTTAGCATCCAGCGAGTGAAGAGGGTGCTAGGTTCTGAGAGCAGTTTTTTGCCAAGTGATTGTCCAGGATAATTACGCCACCGCTCAAGATGTTGTCCCCTGGACCATTTGTTGATTACATGTTTAGCGGCCGCTTTTCTGATGCCACAAAATGGCTCTGGTCCAAAGAGTGGCATGCTTGCACCTTTTTTTGCCAGCTTGTCTGCACTCTCGTTGCTGCCAAAGCCTACATGGCCTGGGACCCAGCCGAGAGTTACAGAGTTCTGTGATGCAAGTCTGCAGAGGGTGTTGAAACACTCCCAGACCAGTTTTGAGGTGACTTCATTTGAGTCAAGAGCTTTGAGAGCAGCCTGACAATCAGATAAAATCACTATCCTTTTGTCTTGGTACCGTCTGGCTAGTCCTAGGTTGGCACAAGCCAAGATGCCATAGATTTCTGCCTGGAAGATGGTACAGTATTGTCCCAGACTTCCTGATAGTTCTGTTCTTGGTGATCGACAGTAAACCCCAAAACCAGATTTTCCATCGATTAGGGAGCCGTCTGTGTACCAGACGAAGCTCTCCATATCTTGGAGATGCCCTTCCTGATGTTTCCACTCATCTCTGGAGCGGAATTCAACATTAAAGGGTTTGGTGAAAACTGCTTCCTTGCTTAGGAAGTCCGAGGTCATGTCAAGCACAGGGCACTCATCCAAAGTCTCAGCAATGGCGCAGTGGCCTGCCCCTGACAGGCCTTCACTCCACAGATTTGCAACCCTCAGACGGTAAGCTGCCTTGAGGGCCTCAGATCTGATGAAGATGTCCAGTGGTAGCAGCCCAAGAGCGACTTCTAGAGTAGCTGATGGACTGCTCCTGAAGGCTCCAGTGGCCTGTAGCGTGCCGAGCCTTTGCATGCTTTCTAGCTTGGCTATGACAGTTACCTGATTCACCTTTGTCCACCAGACTAGTGAACCATAGGTAATCTGAGGCCTGACCACAGCCTCGTATAGCCAGAGTGCTATGTGGGGTTTAATTCCCCAGGTGGTTCCTGCAAACCTCCTGGACGTCATGAGCGCCCATTTGGCCTTATGCAGCGCGTTATTCAGGTGGTTGTTCCACGTCAGCTTGGAGTCAAGTGTCAGTCCTAAATACTTGACCGCACTCGACACTCCCAGCTGAGTAGTGCCAATTTTCAGCCTGGAAAGAGAATCCAGGTTCTTTTTCCTGGTGAAAGGAACTACGACTGTCTTAGAAGGATTAATGTTGAGTCCCTCTCTGAGACACCATTGTTGAACACAATGAACCCATAATAAAGCATAGTGTGCATAAAGCATAGTAAAGAATCCATTGTTCATGGTATGGTAAAAATAGGGGTTTCAGAGTATTCTTATTCAGAGACATCTTCTTCAAGTATTGGGGTTGAAAATGTATGGGTGGTGACGAACCAGTTCCATCAACTTTGAATCATCTATGAAGGTACACATCTCAAACTCCGTATGTAGGCCTATAAACTGTAAATTCATTACAGCCACGCGCTCACCGAGCAGTCCAGTTGCGACGGCTCTAGTGCGGCTGTAGACGCTCGATAGGAATGGGTTGCATTTACTTTGCATTGAAGCAGTCAATTATTTCAGCCGCGCGGCATTCATAACAGTCGCAGGATAGGAATTGGACCTTAAACAGGCACACGACATTTCATGCATCTTACTTAAAAAAAAAATACCCCCGCTGCAGCAAACCTGCCGACTTAGCGAATTTCCATTTGCCTGGATCGATTTTCAATTAATCTATTAAATTAACATTTATGTTTAACAAGTACCTAGGTTAGCTGCTACAGGGAAACTAATAAAGTGTGTTTTTATTAAAATATCAATAGCTTAGTATGAAATAAATAAATCTGCCAAGTTTGATCAAAATATATCCATAAACAAGCCAACTACAACATATTATAATTTTCTCCATAAGAATAACATGGGAATTTTAAATAAATTTTTTTTGAATTTTCACCGTAACCAATCACCGTACAAAAACACTTTGATATACTAAATTATTTGTTTTTTTAAGCTCTTTAAAAACGTCTGGAGAAAAATGGATAAATTTTGTGTTTTAAGGGTAAAAAATTAGAAAAACCAATTTTTACCCCATAACACCCCCCGTGAAAACCCCGTTCCCATGGTCCGATCATGCTGGTTCGCGAACTCATTCAAGTTTATCCCGCCTTACACCTTCAAACCAAATTTTATCAAAATTGGACAAAAATTACTCAAGTTATCGTGCGGATGGACACACATATATATATATATATCTATATATAGATATATATATATACATATATACAAATTTGAACGAATGGTGTTTTTGGCCTCTGGGGACATCAAAATGAAAAAGTAAATCGGTCCCGGGCCTAGGTCTTACCATGAGACCTACGGTAATAGCTACTTCCCTATAGGGAAATTCGCTAATACTTCCCTATAGGGAAATTCGCTAAAAAAAAAAAATAGTTAATAGTTTATAAGCAAGGCCGACACACATTATAACCTCAAATGAGCGAAACCAAAAGGAGTGCAGAAAACTGTTGGAACATTTGCACACCGATGTCACAACGACACAATCTCACGGCGAGCACAATAAAAAAATAAAAATTCTTCTTCCTTCATCTTTCCCAAAACCCAAACCACCCAAAAAAACAAACCCACCGGGGGGAGGATGTAGCGATTCGCTACAAGACAATAGCGCAAGTCACGTGACTTAGGTGCGCGCGCAGTCTCCCCGCGACAAACACGCGCGATGTGAGGAGAGTACAGTAGTGTCTTGCGTGCCCCCAGCAACAGTCGACTAGCCAGATAAGTACTAGCATAAGACTATGTCTAGATAGGTTCGTAGGGGTTGGGGAAGGGTGTAGGTTAGGGTAGATAGTAATTAATTATGTGATTTGTTAGGTTCACCAATGGTCGTGGTCTGGTATTTAATATTCCAAATTTAGAATTCACATTTGCTAAATCTAGTTACTTTTCACGAATTAGAATAAGTCCAGATATATATTTATTTCTCTGTTCACTACATTATAATTAGATATATTAAATAACATAAAAGCTGGCTGTGATATGCAGCTAAGGTAATATTGTGCACTTTGACGAGGTAGCTAACTTCCTTGCAGTAGAGTTGAACAACAACAGGAAATGTGCGTGATTTGGTAGTGGTAAGAGGAAGGTATATAGGGCCCAGGTATCTTCATTTACACTCAGTTCAACCAACATTTTCCAGTTCTCTGTCATACGTTGTCCTGAGTTTTTGAGGAGTGCTACAACTTTTTTAAACTTTCAACCCATTGTTGTGTTGGTATTGCAAAACGACCGGTGAAAAGCTGTTTTAAATAGGCACACACAGTCAACCTTGATGTACCCAATACAAACCATGATAGCAACTAAACAGTATAAGTACAGCAGTCAATGTCTACTGTTGGTTGTAAACAAATTTAGGCAGTTAATTTTGTTTTGTGCTACTTTTTACAAACATGGACACATTTCACAATCCTGGTTACATAGCGTTTGTCTGACTCAAAAGCATAATTAAAAACAATCAAAAATTGAAATTAAGACAATGTTACAATGAGCTATGATTGATACCAAGAAAGGATTCCTTCTCCCTAAGCAATTAATTAAAGGTTTGGACCATTCCCCTACTAAACCCAAAAAAAGTGAAAAATGCCACTGGTGTAGATAAATACCAAAATAAACAAACAAAATTATCTCCAGACTCTTTGTATACTAACTTTTTCAATAGTCGTACATATCAATAATGTAGTTCTATTAAACTATGATGAATAGAGAAACAGTAGATTTCCTTGACAAAAGCTGATTTTTTTTAGGTCCTAGGCCTAAAAAAAGTACTTAGCACCACAATTAATTTGTTAGAAACAGCAGTTTTTGCAACAGCATGAAGAATAATTTTTACATGATTTTTTTAGAAGTTTTTCTAACTGGCCCAATGAGTGGGGAGGAGTGGCCTATTATGACTCTGGTAGCTCTGATCTTCTCAGCCAAAGTATCGGAAGCTCCACATCCTGGTCAGATGTAAGTTACTTTCAGATGAATTTCAACTCAGTTCAACTAAGTTCATAAGCTTTTTCAAGAGTTTGCCATGTTATAAATAATTACCTTACATAAACATTTTTTGTAAATGTTTGTAAATGAAGTGAATTGACCATTGTGTTATAAAACTTTTTAGCATAATGATGTTACTATTTAGTGACTAAGAAGAACAAAAAATCTTAAAGTACTGTAGGATAAAACTTTGTCATGACAAACCATAGACACTTACAAATTTTGTATTTTGTGTAAGAAGAAGTCTAAGACATCCTCTTTAAGCACTAAACAACTTCAACCAGCACACAACTGATCTGTACATATAAAAGGCAAAGCCCTCACTGACTGACTCACTCACTCATCACTAATTCTCTTACTTCCCATTTACCTAGGAGTCTGAAATTTGGTACACTGATTCTTTAGGCATTAAATAGGAAAACTGAGATGTTTTTATTCTGATCGGACTCTTGGGCTCCGCCCCAGAGGATCTGGATTTCCCATGTTAACCTTATGAGTACTCATATTTAAATGGAATTAATGAATCTAAATTATGGTTCAAAAGTTATTGTAAATTATGTTATTTTCCCATATAAACCCCATTAAATAACGGAAAAATCAGATTTTCACAAAAATGGCCCGAACAATTTTGATAAAAATTTAGTATGTAGTCCTTTAAATTCTGAACAAAATTATACAGATCCCATTTCCGTATATTTACTCTCACCGCTTACACATGATAAAGGTTGTTGACAAACTTATGGGAGAAAGTATGAGTCAGAATGCTGATACCGTTTATTTTAAATTTATGACAACAGCTAATTTGCAACCAAAAGGTGAGTGAGCGTAGCGAACAAACTTCAACCTGGAGGCGAGTTAGCGTAGCGAACGAGCTAACCTGAAGGCAAGTGAGCGCAGTGAACGAGCTCTAACCTAAAGGTGAGTGAGCGTAGCGAACGAACTTCAACCAGGACGTGATTGAGCCATGCGAACGAGCTCACTTATGAAGTTAAACGGGGCAAAGCCCGCGGGTACAGCTAGTACAATATAAAGGGTAAATGAAAAAACTAGATGTTTATAAAAATGCATTAATCATTTTTTTTTGTGTCAGTTATAACATTAGTTTCATTAAAATGTTCGTAAACTCTTGTCATTTAAGTAAATACACTATTATTTGCTAAACATATTTGGATACACTTCAGGTGGTGTCCACTTTCATTTATGCAGATTTTAATAATTTATAATTTATACAGGGTGTCTCACGAGAGGTGTCTCAAATTGATTACGGAAAAACGGCTTAACGTACAAGGATGAAATAAAATTATTTCCCGCTAAATCGACCCCAAGGAATAACGTAAAAATATTTTTAACTTTTTCCCAATACAGGGTGTGCCAAAAACTGAGGGTCACTAGTTCGAATCTCAGAATTTTCAAATGTAAACATATGTCATGTTATACATCATTTTAAAGGTATTTGATAGACAAACATTTTGGCGAAAACAGAAATAAGTTACCTTTTTCCATTTCAAAATGGCGGCAGTTTTTTTGGAAAAAATCTATATTTTTTTAATACTCTGTGTTCCCTATACCAATGCATTTATCCCTTCTCCGGTTGAATTTTCTTACTCGTTATGAAATTAGCTTTACTTTGATATGCTACAAGTAACCGTTTTATGGAATTATAAAAATTCCAAAAAAAATTATTTTTGAAAACTTGCAAATGCTCATTTTTCAAAAATTTCAAATAGCAACATATGTCAAGTGGCACATCATTTTATAGGGTTTTTAATTCCTAACAACTTTGTAATTTACACTTACTTCGTATCTCTTTTAGCGAATTTCCCATATAGGGAATAAGCTATTACCGTAGGTCTCATGGTAAGACCTAGACCCGGGACCGATTTACTTTTTCGTTTTGAGGTCCCCAGAGGCCAAAAACACCATCCGATCAAATTCATATATATATATATATATATATTTATATATGTGTCCGTTAGCGCGATAACTCAAGCAAAATTGATCCGATTTTGATGAAATTTGGTACAAACGTGTAAACCTACATTTATTCGAACGAGTTCGCGAACCAGCATAATCGGACCATGGGATCAGGGGTTTATGGGGGGTTTTATGGGGTAATAATGGGTTTTTCTAATTTTTGACCCTAAAAACTTAAAATTTCTAAATTTCTCTCTAGACCATTTTGAAGAGCTTAAAAAAACAAATAATTTAGTATATTGAAGTGTTTTTGAATGTTCATTGACTACGGAGAAAATTTAAAAAATTGTAAATTTAAAATTCCCATGTTATTCTTATGGAGAATAAATAAACTGTTCTAGTTTGCTTATTTATGGATATATTTTAATCAAATTTGGCAATTTGGTTTATTTCATACTAAGCTATCAATATTTCAATTGAAAAACACATCTCAACATCTTCCCCGTAGCAGCAAACCTAACTACTCACTAAAATTAATGTTATTTAAATAGGAAATAAATCTGAAAATTTATAGGGAATATTTTAGTAGAAATCAAGCCGGGTAAATGGAAATTCGCTTAGTATGCAGGTTTGCTGCGACGGGGGTATTAGTTTTTGCGTAAATAACAAAAGACCTAATTTTCCTATATCAAATGCATGTTATTTGGGTTTAACACTAAAGGCCCAATTTGATTAAGTGTTAAACCACGTCAAACCCAAATAACATGCATTTGATATAGGAAAATTAGGTTTTTTGATATTTAGGCAAAAACTAAAAGAGATACGAAGTAAGTGTAAATTACAAAGTTGTTAGGAATTAAAAACCCTTTAAAATGATGTGCCACTTGACATATGTTGCTATTTGAAATTTTTGAAAAATGAGCATTTGCAAGTTTTCAAAAATAATTTTTTTTTGAATTTTTATAATTCTATAAAACCGTTACTTGTAGCATATCAAAGTAAAGCTAATTTCATAACGAGTAAGAAAATTCAACCGGAGAAGGGATAAATGCATTGGTATAGGGAACACAGAGTATTAAAAAAATATAGATTTTTTCCAAAAAAAACTGCCACCATTTTGAAATGGAAAAAGGTAACTTATTTCTGTTTTCGCCAAAATGTTTGTCTATCAAACACCTTTAAAATGATGTATAACATGACATATGTTTACATTTGAAAATTCTGAGATTCGAACTAGTGACCCTCAGTTTTTGGCACACCCTGTATTGGGAAAAAGTTAAAAATATTTTTACGTTATTCCTTGGGGTCGATTTAGCAGGAAATAATTTTATTTCATCCTTGTACGTTAAGCCGTTTTTCCGTAATCAATTTGAGACACCTCTCGTGAGACACCCTGTATAAGTGAGTGAAAATTTAAAAACGTACGTTTTCAGGAAAAGCACTTTGCAAATTCTTTTCCCCTTTTTTCAAAAATGTATTATTATTTTTATTTCATTAACATTTGAAGTTTCATAAAATGTCCATGGTAACACAATATCTTTGGTAGTTTCTTTTTAAATGAGCATCTTTAGTGGAAATACACAAAATCCTGTCACGACCATAACGGACGTTTAAATGAATATTAAAAATAGTTAATATTATTTTATAACCATGTTTTGCTATAAACTTATTTACTTTTATGACCATTATACAATAAAAAGGTCACTGAGCTTTTGGTATATTTGGTCTTTCTAGAAAAAAATAAAAAAACTCAAAAAATTGAAAAAAAGCCAATAAAATCTTTTTAAGTTTGTATAACTCCGAAAAAACTTACCTGAGACCCGAAAAATCGTTATGTTTGTATAGAGGTGTGCTTCTTTTGTGTATAAAACATTGAAATATGACGATATTTTAATTTTTGAAATTTTTATGATAGAAATAATTTAAAACGTGATGGTCAGGGACAAGCTGTATGGTCGTGAATTGTCTGGAATAATCTACATCTTTCTAAACAATCCTTCAATTATCCTGTTAGTTATAATAAAAATATGTGTTTCAATTGAACTAAACTGTTCAATTTACAATTATATTAAAGTTATTGTCACGACCAAACACACTATAATCCATAAGGCTGGATGGTCGTGAAAAAACCAGCGATGGTCGTGAAACTTTGGTCGTGAAATTACGTGTTATTTGGCTCTGTTCTGGCGGTAGCCCTGCACCTCATGTTCGAGGATACAAAGTGGACTTCTAGGTTAATCTAGCAATTGAAATATCTTGTAAACAAAAATTAACACCATGTCTACTTCATCGAATGACTACGTACGGTCATGGACACACCAAAATTACAAAAAACACAATCTTTCCTTTATTAATCTTGCAATTCCTCCTTTCAACTCGAAACGACCGGCACTACAATCCTGACATACACCCCGAACTAGTCTCTAAAACCAACTGACTCCATCGACGCCAGGCTTGCCACTGTCGTGCTCCAAAGTTGAAAATTTTTCCCAAATGGTCGTGACTCCAAATCGAGGGACAGACTTATTTTGTCATGGTAGTCAGTTTGTAATGACAATAAAATTATAATATGCTCCTTTCTTGTAAGTTTAATAACCATTGATGACATAAAAATATGGCTTTATATATTTCGGCATGAATAATTAGTCTAAAAACAGCGTGAAAGTTGGAAAATGTACCCTAGGGACACGTCATGGTCGTGAATTTGGAGACTTTAAAAAAAAAAAAAAAATACCTAGAACCTATTTAAAACAAAATAAATGTGTGTAACATGTTGCCCCTGTCCCAAAAAATATTAAAACACATAATAATAAACTACAAATCCAGTATCTACGAAGTAAAAGGCCAGGGACATGAAAACGTACGTTTTTAAATTTTCACTCAAGTACTTCCATTACACATTCCAGAATTTCAAGGTCACACTTCATTGTCGCCCCTTCCTGGTTAGTTGTTTTCTTAAGATTTGCCAGGGATTGGTGTTTGTGAGTGTAAACAAAACATTTGAGATAACCCCCACCCAAAAAAAAAAAAAAAATCACATGGTCAGGTGACCTTGCGGCCAAAAAATATAACCGAAACTAAAATAACCATTCCTAGAACCATAGTAAACACCACGGCCATTGAATCCTGAGCAGTGTACCCAGTTGATTTTCATCTTTTTGAAAATAAACATTTAACTATTGTTAATGAAATGTTGCCGTCTCACCTGTGACCTTAAAAAATTGTGTGAGCATATCAACACTTAGGAATCAAAGCTTGCCTAACCGTTTCAACATTCTGCAGCGCCGTTAAAGTTTTTTTTTTTTATTCGGGCGACTGGTTTTGTTTTTCTGATGGATAAATTTTTCTTAAAATAATGTCAACCCACCTGAGGATTTATTGCATTTTGGCTGGAAATTATATCATGGTATCAAAGATGAAAGTTAACAAAGTCAAATCACTGTGCGGCCGTGATAGGCTCGCCGTTTCATATATACACATCCTAGGCCAACATTAGATGTTGTACTGCTCCATACTTACTAAAACAATATACAAAAATGGATTACACCTCTTCCCCCCTTGAGATAGTAACTCTGATGCATATACTACCCATTTTAAATACATCCAATTTCGGTCAGTCACCTTGTACTTTTGACTCAAACTTGTGGAGATTGTCACTGGGGGCAGTGGATTCATGAGCACAAGACAATGGATTTTCCAGTCTACTTTATTATCAGTCAACACTCAAGAGTACAACAAATGCATTCTCCGTTAGACAAAGTTCTACTTATAATTTTAGCGAATTTCCCATATAGGGAATAAGCTATTACCGTAGTACTCATGGTAAGACCTGGACGCGGGACCGATTTTTTTTTTCGTTTTGAGGTCCCTAGAGGCCAAAAACACCATCCGTTCAAATTCATATATATATATATATATTTATATATTTATATATTTATATATATATATATGTGTCCGTTAGCACGATAACTCGAGCAAAAATGATCCGATTTTGATGAAATTTGGTACAAACGTGTAAACCTACGTTTATTCGAACGAGTTCGCAATCCAGCATGATCGGACCATGGGAACGGGGGTTTACGGGGGGTTTTATGGGGTAAAAATAGGTTTTTCCTATTTTTTACCCAAAAAACATAAAATTTAGCAATTTCTTTTCAAACCATTTTGTAGAGCTTAAAAAAACAAATAATTTAGTATATTGAAGCGTTATTATGCGCCTAATGGTTACGGAGAAAATTCCAAAAAATTGTAAATTTAAAATTCCAATGTTATTCTTATGGAGAATAAGTAAACTGTTGTAGTTTGCTTGTTTATGAACATATTTTGATCAAATTTGAAAAATATTTTTATTTCTTACCAACTATTAACATTTTACAAAAAAAGAACAGTTTTACTCTCCCTGATGCAGCAAACCTAAGTACTTGTTAAACTAATTCTATTTAAATAGGGAATAAATGTTATATTTTTAAGTAGACATTTCAGTGTAAATCCAATCAGTCAAATGGAAATTCGCTTAGTCTGCAGGTTTGCTGCGGCGGGGGTATTTTTTTATTGCCGTGCTTCGGGTGATAGTTTCAATAGATTATCATCTAAAGTTTATCCTTACATCAGGTTGTTGTGATGACAGGAGCTGGAAGGGGACCTGACCCCATCACTACAGGCACAGCTGCACCTGGTAGAACAGACTCTGTACCATGATGGAAGACAAGAACTGCCTATCCATAGCCCTTTGAGAGAGGAATGCAAACTGTGGCAGCAAAACTTCCCTCATCTCAGGTATGTATTATATTTCAATCACATGGGTGAGAACCAGGTTGTCCATGATGACGAGGGAAGAGAAGTTGGTGATGTGTCCCTCTCCAGTAAATTGTTCCAAACATCTACAGTCTACTCTTTGTTGTTAAAACATAAGGCTGATTAATTCAGACTTTGATTACACTAATCATAAGAGTCTTCATCAATCATGGGCCAGTTGGGTTTTGGGGGTATGACCTTGGGGTTAGGTGTGACTTTTAGTGGTTTTGTGGGTGGGCGGGGTCATTATGCACCCATTTTGTGAATACACCGTAAACACACAACTACTATAAAGACGTGACTCTGCACCTACGCACGTGCAGCGGCAAACTTCTCTATCCTTGAAAATTGATAAACACATATAACTGATGTCACTACTCTTCCTATTTAGATTATTTCTTGCCTTTGAGAGTCAACAAGAGCGATTCCGCCGTACAATTTAATATTGGAGCAAACTGACTGAAACTCACAGTGGAACAAGAATACTAAACATAATTTTAAAAATAGGTATGTAGCAAAAAAAATTTTGATCAGATACTGTAAAATCTAACGCTTTAAACATTAATTCTTATTTTTATTTGAATGAGTTCGCAAACCAGCATGATCGGACTATCGGAACGGGGTTTTTACGGGATAAAATTGTTTTTTTCATTTTTAACTCAAAAACATTAAATTTCCCAATTTCTTTCCAAACCATTTTGTAAATCTTAAAAAATTAAATAATTTTGTATTTTGAAGCATTGAATGCCTAACAGTTACAGAGATGATTAAAATATTGTAAATTTAAATTTTCCATGTTATTCTTATGGAGAGTAAACAAACTGTTGTAGTTTGCCTGTTTATGGATAAGGCTATTTTTTATCAAATTTGGTAATTTATGTATTAGGCTACGGTTTGTTTTATACTAAGCTATCAACATTTTAATAAAAAAAATACCCCCGCCGCAGCAAACCTGCAGACTAAGCGAATTTCCATTTGACTGATTGGATTTACACTGAAATGTCTACTTAAAAATATAACATTTATTCCCTATTTAAATAGAATTAGTTTAACAAGTACTTAGGTTTGCTGCATCAGGGAGGGTAAAACTGTTCTTTTTTTGTAAAATGTTAATAGTTAGTATGAAAAAAAAATATTTTTCAAAATTGATCAAAATATGTTCATAAACAAGCAAACTACAACAGTTTACTTATTCTCCATAAGTACATAAGTACACTTAAATCCACATTGGAATTTTAAATTTACAATTTTTGGAATTTTCTCCGTAACCATTAGGCACATAATAACGCTTCAATATACTAAATTATTTGTTTTTTTAAGATCTACAAAATGGTTTGAAAAGAAATTGCTAAATTTTATGTTTTTTGGGTAAAAAATAGGAAAAACCTATTTTTACCCCATAAAACCCCCCGTAAACCCCCGTTCCCATGGTCCGATCATGCTGGATTGCGAACTCGTTCGAATAAACGTAGGTTTACACGTTTGTACCAAATTTCATCAAAATCGGATCATTTTTGCTTGAGTTATCGTGCTAACGGACACATATATATAAATATATAAATATATAAATAAATATATAAATATATAAATATATAAATATATAAATATATAAATATATAAATATATAAATATATAAATAAATATATAAATATATAAATAAATATATAAATATATAAATAAATATATAAATATATATATATATGAATTTGAACCGATGGTGTTTTTGGCCTCTAGGGACCTCAAAACAAAAAAAAAAACCGGTCCCGCGTCCAGGTCTTACCATGAGTACTACGGTAATAGCTTATTCCCTATATGGGAAATTCGCTTAAAACAAACACCTCATTATCTTCTCTGTAGCAGTAAACCTAAATCCTACTCATTAAAATTAATTTTACTTTAATACTGTAGATATAAGTGTACTTTAATTCCTTCTGTGTTCCGTCCATGTTAAAGACAACCTATTAAATTTCCCTACAAGAAGTACCATACATGCACATCAAACCAGGCGTAACAATGAAATAGACATCCCTTTCTGCAGACTCTCAAAAACAAAAAATTCATACCCGACCATGGCACTCAGGATTTACAATGGTCTACCCCAAACACTGAAGAACCTGGAAGCTCCTAAGTTTAGCACTGCCCTGAAGACATGGCTAAAAGATAGGCCATATTATAGCCTGAAAGATTTTTTTGAAAGTATGGGTGTATCCACCGCCATGACATAAAAGTTTATCTAAAGAGAAAAGTTTTATTTTTAGTAATATGTAAATAGTATTGACACAACCCATCCGGCATCGCTGGTCTTGGTGACGAAGGAGGTAATTAAGGTAATTAAGTGAAAATCAAGTCAGGCAAATGGAAATTCCCTTAGTGTGCACTGTGCAGGTTTTCTGCGGTGGGGTATTCAACATTAAATTATTCAATTAATTGAGGTTTATTGTGAGAAAGGTATATTTTTATTTCGATAATTTTAGATGTAAGCAACATTTTTTACATTACAACTGCAAAAGAACTTCAGACATTTTATGACATTTTTTTTTAAAGTTTGGAGTAGCCTACGGATACTATCCAACTGATATTATAATGTTTAGATGTGTTGGATGATTATTCTTCTCTCCTAATCTAGAAGAACTAATTACTTTTAAATAGTTAAAAAAATAGATATACCCTTATTAAAATAGACAGTATTTTTCCTGTAACCATATTCTCAAAACAGTAGATCAATTTGCACTGAAAGGTTACATTTGTACACCCTCTCAATACATTGCATGTTACAGTTAGGCCAATATTACATAGCAATAATTATTGTTTTCTGTTGCCAAGGTAACATTCTTGACTTGCCACCTTAAGATCATTTGTATTGATTCTGACTCAACAGTAGTCTGAGTTACGTACTTGATATATCACATTTCTATCAGTGTATCTTGATTTTGAGTATTTTAATTATAACACGGTTTTAAGCTGTCTTTTTTAACATGGACTAGTATTTTTAGATTTTACAGTAAACCTTTATTAAAACTTACTCTTTTCATGGGATTATCTGCTAAAACAACATTGAAAGAAATGTTTTGGTACATCACATTCCCATTTATTTGACGTTTCATCGCTCCTTATCTCAAAATAAAGAGGGAAGCAATGTAAGTGAAGTAAAAAAAAACTTGTTATTTTCAGCGTTTGATAATATACAGTGATTTATAAAACTAGTAGATAAGTTTAAGTATGGGCAGTTTAAGAATAGGTAACAGTTGATTTTCAATGAGCCAGTTATATTTGAGCTTATACATGGCATTAAAAAAAACTTTTTACTATACACTTATCACACACCACTTATCACTTATCACTTATAACTACTTATGGCTTATCACTTATAACTTTTTACTTACATTATCAGACATTAATGTGATTTTTTAAGTAAGTCACAACACTACAGTAGTTACTTTAGTTGTAGATTTATTTATTTCAAAATTCATGTTTTTGCACCCTGGACTATTTTGTTAAGACAATAATAGGTTTTACGTTCCTCCGTCAAATAGTACAACGATGAAGATTGCTCAGTAGCTTAGATGTTTTGTTGAGAAGACAACATTCTCAAAGCTTGCACCTTGTTAAAAAAAATACAAATACAATTAAAACATGTATGACATGAACATAAAAATGGTACATATACACAAACATTTAATAGCGCTATCATGATAATACTGATTTAGTCCGGTGTGGCACGGGGTTGGTAGCAGACTGGAGGTCTACGTCACGTTGTCTCCTCTCTTTCTGTTATCACTGATGTTATTGGATGAGTCAGCTAGTTTTGAGTGTAGAATTTTATCGACAATCCAGTGAGACCAGAACTGTAACTTTTTGTTGCGTATATGGTCTTCAAATAGTTCGTCATTGTAAATTTGATAAATCTCAAACTCCTCCAAGGTGTCAAGTTTGCTACCTTTCCCACAGACATGGAAAATTCTAAACCATCGTCTATGCTGCTCATTGAGTAATTTGAGTCAACCAGGTAATGGGCAAAGGCTGATTTCTATTTAGTAATTTTTGGTGTTGGCCTGTAATCCTAGTTTTTAATATTTTTAAGTTTTCAATGATTTAGGGTGTAGCCTCCAAATCCTTAAGATATCTACAAGGGCATCCAACTTCATCGGTATGGGTTAAATTCATATTGGGCATGTGAGTTGTTAGGTTGAGATCCACTCCTTGAAAACCAATGGAGAGGAGTTCTTACCTTTGCGGCTGACCATCCTTAAGTTGCTTGAAAGTACCTCTTAACTTAAATTGGCGTTAAAGCATCAAGTTAAGATTATCATTTGGGTGGTATTATAAATTTGGAATCCAAACCCATCTATTAAAAATGTATGATTTTTGTTGCTCAATAATAATTAGACCTGATTTATTAACATTATTGAGACTAGTTGCTTTGCCCGTGCTTTGAAACAAGTTGGAACTAGGAATTTCTTATCAAAACCTATGTGGTTGATAGGAGTCCGGCTAACTGTTTTATCAAAACTTTGTGTTCTTTATGAACGTTAAGGAATAGATACAGCTTAATTATCTGCAGGAATGATATTTTAATTAAAAAAACACACATACAACTATGGTTTATTTTTTGTTTGTTTCTACATCTAGGATTTATGGCGAAGCAGTAAAACCTTCTGTTGGCTGTCAAACCCGAAGTCGACATGAGCAAATTCAGGAGCAGCTGGAGGAAATCATCTCTGCTCATGGTGACAGTGAAGACGCCTTGGCTAGGACTGTTGTTAAAAAAGACAGTGTGGTAGACTGCAGTGAACTTTATAAAGAAAAAATTAAAAAGGCTGTGATAGACCAAATATTTTTAAGAATCTGGCCTGAAGTTGTGAAAAAAATAGAACCAATTTTATGCAAAGTAGCTGCTGAACAGAATGACCCGTTCAGTGTAAGCCCCGAGCCGAGGTTAAAGTGTGATAGTTTGAGTACAGAGCTTACCAGTGGCTTCAACAGTTTGAATATTATTGAGGATGTGACAACGAGGCCCAAGTCTGGTAGAAGATCAGGTAGAACTTTATCAGCCAAGGTCCCAGTCAAACCCATCGTACTGGAGTGTTCCATCCCCGTACCAATGTTAGTCAACAGGACTTCCTCTCCTCTGAGAAGGTATTTAAACATGCTCCTACATGTGTCTTATATCACACTCTTCTATACAGGGTGGGAAAAATGTTCCGGGCCGGTTCAATATTTCAAAAAATAATCAAGATATAGAGGCCCTGAGGACAGTTGATGCAACCCGCGTGATCGATGACAATTTTTTGACTTAGATTAGTAGAGAATTTCTATCGATCGGGCAATTAGTGTCAGTTTAGCTGTTGTAAACTACTATTCCTAGCGCTTTTACTGTTTTTAACAAATTTTCATCATATACAATTTTTTGTAATTCTCATATAAATATTGTTGTGATAGGGAGTCCATGTGGCAAACACCCGTCGTGGGCCTGGGTCCCGGTAAAATTTTCCGAAAAACCCTGGTCACCTAGCTCACGCCCCCCCCCCCCCCCCCCGCACCACTATTGCCACCACTGTATTTAAGCACTCAATCACTTCACTAAAACAGCAAATTACTTTTTCATCATACTGTTCGGAATACAGCCGTTTTTAGGTCTCTAAATCGTTCTCAAAATCATCGTTTTCAGGTAACTTTAAGGGAACAGAAAAAACACAGGCTATGGTAAATTTTTCGGTTCCCTAATCCCAAAATTTTACTGCGTAATTTTATTAGTACATTTTGAAAAAGCTAGTAAAAGCACACTATTTTTAGTTATGTTTGTAAACAACAGAAATGTAAACATTGATGACGACTTTATATAGGCCTACCTCAAATTAAGCGGTCTAATTTTGTAACGATTAGAAGGTTATTTCAACAGTATGATGAAAATAGTTGTTCATCTCACAAAGCAAAAGTGTCTTTTTGGTATCGTGCTCAATCGTATTACCAAGAGCCACTTCGCTCCTATTGATGACAACTACTATCACTTTGCATATATTTTAAGCTGATTATGAATTAATGGAGTGTGTAGCTTTGTTATGGACAAAGATCTGCTGTCTCTCTAGCAAAGATAATTTATTTAAAGCTAAAGGACAGCTTACTCCAGTTTAAACCATCAAAAAGCTGCTGACTTTTTCACGACCTTCTGATTATTAGGCGAGCACTACAGCCACTCAGCTCTCCAGCTAAGTATACGTATATAAGGTATAAGTATACCTTTGTATGAGTGTTATATTGAAACTAGCAGAGTACACGTCCTTGGTACGGGGTTGGCGTATAAGTATAAAATGCTCATTGCAGTGGGCTCTGCCATTGACTATACACAGAATAGACTTCCGATGCAATATAAAACTTTAAAGCCAAAAAACGGGGTGTAATCTGCTGAGATGGTCTACACTAACGACAATATTCTGTGTCAAATGATAAATCAATCAGCTGTTTGCTACAATACTGCATTAATCTATATATTAATAGGCAAGCATATTTCTTTAAAACCTTTTTTCTCAGCTCGTGAGCATCACAGGGAAAATCGACACATACTGTTAGCAAGATATTTTACTGTAGATGTGCGGAATCCCTTTATAAATTAAAATTGGCTAAAAAATAAGCACAACACATGCTTTATTTACAGCAAGGGGTGAAAATAGAGAAGTCTGTACATTATATATTTTTGGTAGATTTTTCAACCACTGGACGACCTCTAGTTTTGATTAATATTTAACCCAATACACTAGTACCCCCTGGTGAGATGGTCCTGAATTTCATCTATTTTCTTGGCTTCAAATTTTTATATTACAAGTATTCTGTATTTAGTCAATGGCTCTGCGTTTGCAATGAGGGAGAACACGGTTTGAGAAAATTTGGTTCTTTAAATTCACGGTAGCCTATGCTATAGTATATCACATCTACCATAGCTATAATGTTCTACCACTGCACCTAAACAATAGAAAATACCCCCGCCGCAGCAAACCTGTGGACTAAGCAAATTTCCATTTGCCTAATTGGATTTACACTAAAATTTCTCTTTAAAAATATCAGATTTAAGTTATTCCCTATTTAAATAGCATTAGTTTAACGACTACTCTAGGTTTGCTGCAACAGGGTAAAAAAGTGTTTTTAGCTAATTTCCTATATAGGGAATAAGCTATTACCGTAGTACTCATAGTAAGACCTAGACCTGGGACCTGTTTACTTTTTCGTTTTGAGGTCCCTAGAGGCCAAAAACACCATCCGTTCAAATAGGTTGTCTGATGGTGGTGGGGGTAGGCTCATTGGGAAGCCTATTCGATGCCATTTTCTGTAGCCATAGAGCATGGGTCACCTGAGCAACGCGTGTTTGTAATCAAGTCAAATTTAAAAAGTAATGATTCAGTCATTGCAACTCAGCGGCACTTTCATGCATTCTTTAAATTAGGTCGATATGGAGAGGTTCCATCACGCTTAGGTTCCTTATGGATAATAAACAAAACTAAACAGATAAATACAAATTAATCTGTAGGGATAAAAAATTTAAGATCGAACTTCAAAATTAGTGTAACCGAGAGGGCAGACATGTTCAAAGCAGATGCTGGTTTTTGGGCGGGCCTACGAGGATTGTTTTCCACAGCAGCACAAACACTTCTGAATTTTAGTTGTCTGGCGTCCGATCTGCTTTGGATGGCTTGGCAGATTCTTTTTGAGCGCTAAAACCGTTGTTCTAAAGTTGGTAACCCACCACATGATTGTGCCACTTGACGGAATCCACGTCGCCCCAATTAAAAGAATGCACGGAAGTGACGCTGAGTTGCTTCCTTGGAATGAGAACTGTCAAAGTAGGATTTTTTACAGTTATGTTTATGTTTTTAATTTAATAAATAATTGGTCATGTGGTGCGAAGGTTTTAATAATTTACTTTTACCGAATTTGTATAGGGAATAAGCTATTACTGTAGTACTCATGGTAAGACCGGGACCGATTTACTTTTTTGTTTTGAGGTCCCTAGAGGCCAAAAACACCATCCGTTCAAATTCATATATATATATGTGTGTCCGTTAGCACTATAACTCAAGCAAAAATGATCCAATTTTGATGAAATTTGGCATGAACGTGTAAACCTATATTAATTCGAACGAGTTCCCGAACCAGCATGATCGGACCATGGGAACGGGGGTTTATGGGGTATGGGGTAAAAATTCCTAAAAACAAAAAGTTTTGCAATTTATTTCCAAACCATTTTGCAGGTCTTAAAAAAAAACAAATAATTTAGTATATTGTAGCGTTATTATGTGCCTAATAGTTACAGAGAAAATTCCAAAAAATTTTAAATTTAAAATTCTTATGTTATTCTTATGGAGTGGAGAATAAGCAAACTGTTGTAGTTTGCTTTGTTTATGAGCATAGTTTGATCACATTTGGAAAAGGCCTTTATTTCATACTAAGCTATCAACATTTTACAAATACCCCCGCCACAGCAAACCTGCAGACTAAGTGAATTTCAATTAGCCTGATTGGATTTACACTAAAATGCCTCCTTAACAATATCACATTTATTTATCACATTTATGCAAAATTTCATCAAAATTGGATCATTTTTGCTTGAGTTATAGTGCTAACGGACACAATATATATGAATTTGAACGGATGGTGTTTTTGGCCTCTAGGGACCTCAAAACAAAAAAGTAAATCGGATTTTAAATTTGACTTGATTACAAACACGCGTTGCTCAGGTGACCCATGCTCTATAACTACAGAAAATGGCATCGAATAGGCTTTCCAATGAGCCTACCCCCACCACCCTCAGACGACCTGTCCCTGAACAGTACGGTACAGAAAATAGATCGGTTTTTTTGCCGCACCCTGTATTACCTCAAAAGAGACTTAAACAATACTTTTGACTATATTTATTGATTACACATTTGTATTAGGTACAAATCATAATTTTTGTAATAGATTGGTTTATTTGGCCAAATCTTTATCCATGGGGGGGGCTTGGTCCTGTGGTGGCCAGATATGGGAGGGTTATACTGTAACCTATGGATATAATTAAATTGAGGTTTTGTTCAATACCTTTTAAAACCATGGACTACCTAGGACTACCCAGAAAAAAAAAAAGTCATTCTAGTACTTTTTATATCTTGCCATATCTAAACATTTGTAAATGCAATTACACCAGGTCGCCTGGAAGGTTGTCGCAGGGAATGAAACAACCTTCCCCAGAGAGACTGTTGTCCCCCCTCCCTCTAGAGGCTCGCAGTGCCACTGGACGTCGCCTATCCAGACCCAAACCTCAGTACGACGCACGCACTGGCCGTATGATCAACAGAGATGACTCTAGGTACATACATTTCCTGCTACCATAACAATTTTTTTACTAACCAAGATCCTATAAACATGATTTTTTTGTACAGGTTACACAAATACTTCCTACTAAAACTATATTGGTTGAAATGACTATGTTTACGTGGAATGAACGTAGTTATAAAAACTTCACTGTCGAGGATATAATATTTTTTTCAAGCGATGAAACACTTTCGCAAGTTGGCTTTTACCTTACCTTACCTATGTGGCCACTCAAACTGCAGTAGGTTTTTGGTCTCACCAACAACAACAACAACAACAAGTCGCCACCTCTCTGTCTTCCATCCATTCTGTCTCTGCTCTTCGCTTCCCTATGTCTCTTTACACCTGGTCCTACTATCTTAGCCGAGGTCATCTTCCCTGAGGAAGATTTTTAGATACCATTCTTAGCGTAGAATCTTTCTCTCTTCTCTTCACATTACCAGCCCGTCTCCTACTTTTTATTTGTGCTATTACGTCTGGGTCTGTATGGACTTTTTACCAAAGTACCAACTCCATTGATCAAAAGGGTGAAGCTGAAAGGGCCTATGAAATGAAGGGGAACCTTCCCCACGAGGAAGGTTTCTCTGGAAGTAGAGACCATGTTTTCAGGATACTTTAAAAATCGAGAAATTTATAGAACTTTCGAGAAGACAGCTAACACAAAAATTCACAGACAACGTACAGCAGTGGCGGCAGTCTGCCAACGGCGCAATAACAAAACCTATGCTGTTGAGCGTTGAGCACGTACACACAGGACAGATTTCCCTTAATTCTTTGTTTGTTCTGATCCTCCACACCCCATTTTCGTTGATGGGACTGTAGATAGTTCTTATTTTGTTTTCAAAAACAAAATCAATTATCTTCTTTTCGTTGTTCATTGTCAATGTCCAGGTTTCAGATCTGTAGAGTGCTATTGGCTGTATTATAGTTTTATAGAGTTTTTCTTTGGTTCTCCTTGACAAAAGTCTACTTTTTAGCAGTGATTTAAGGGCCCTATAGCATTTATTAACTAAAATTAACTTAAAGTTGGCTTTTAGTCTGGACATAATAGATGAGTGAACGAAGTGAACGAATACATTACTCCTGTTATAGCGGAGTCGGAGAAAAGTTGTCCGCTTGTCTGTGAGTGTGTTCGCATCAAAAACTCAAGAACCGTTGCACTTATAGCGTTCAAATTTTGCACAAATAATCATGACACCAGTGTGAAGACACCATTAAAATTCTAGACGATTCCGATCAGTAGTAATTATAAAACCGTAAAAATACATTTTTAAATTTGTCCCATAAGAATAACATTAGAAGCTACCTTCTTCTTCTTTTTATTTGTTTACGTTTTGCGACCAACAATTTTGTTGTCTACTTAAGACAGAGAGAACGACTTTTACTCTAAGCTCTTTCATTCATGGAGTAAACAGTTTGGCACCTATAAATATATACAATGGTTAAAGTTCGTTCGCTACGCTCACTCACCTTTAGGTTGGAGCTTGTTCGCTCCGCTCACTTGCCTTCAGGTTAGCTCGTTCGCTACGCTAACTCGCTTCCAGGTTGAAGTTCGTTCGCTACGCTAACTCACCTTTTGGTTGCAAATTGGCTGTAGTCATAAATTTAAAAAAATAATAGTGCTGCACCCTGTTGGTAATCCTTGTAACTTTAATGCTATTGAACATCATAGAACAGAACCAACTTGTTTAATTGAAACGGCTGTTAAGAAATTTCTTTTAAATATGAAAAATCATAAGGTTAACATGGGAAACTCCAGAGCCACTGGGGCGGAGCCCGAAAGCCCGATCAGAATAAAAACTACTTAGTTTTCCTATTTAATGCCCAAAGAATCGGTGTACCGAATTTCAGCCTCCTAGGTAAATGGGAAGTGGGAGAATTAGTGATGAGTGAGTGAGTGAGTGAGTGAGTCAGTCAGTGAGGGCTTTGCCTTTTATATATATAGATTATAATTTCACAACTTTCAGAATATTTAATTGAACTTTACAATAATAGTCGGCAGTTATATACAGTTTATGTTCAGTATTAAAATTCACCTTTACATTACAAATATATATATATGTACATATTTAGTACTAAGCAGCTTTTTACATTATTTTAATGTTGGCATTGACTATTAAATGTCAAAGATGTTAGTCTATTTTTATAATAAAATGCTATGTGAAGGAAGGGAAACAGGTCCACGAGTAGGAAGTGGTAAAGGTGAGCTGGGAACCCTTTGTGACAGTTAAAATAATGTATCTGCAATTCTAAAATGCTATGGGAAGGGAGGGAAACAGGTCCACGACGTAGGAAGTGGTGGAGGAAGTAGTCAAGGCTAGCAGTCCGGAGTGTGGTAACCCTTTGTGACAGTTAGATTAATGTATCTGCAAGAAGAAAATGCTATGAGAAGGGAGGGAAATAGGTCCACGACGTAGGAAGTGGTGAAGGAAGTAGTCAAGGCGAGCGGTCCAGAGTGTGGGAATCCTTTGTGACAGTTAGATTAATGTATCTGCAATTATAAAATGCTGTGGGAAGGGAAGGAATTAGGTCCACGACGTAGGAAGGGATAAAGGAATTAGTTAAGGCGAGGGGTCCGGAGTGTGGGAAGCCTTTGTGACAGTTAGATTAATGTATCTGCAATACTACAATTCTATGGGAAGGAAGGGAAACAGGTTCACGACGTAGGAAGTAGTTAAGGAAGTAGTCGAGAAGTGCGGAGTGTGGGAACCGTTTATGGCATTTAGATACATTAGTTAGATAAACATATATTGGATATTTAATCAGTTTTAGTTGATATAATAGCTCTATCGGTAGTATGAAATGAAATGAAATGAAATATTATTTATTTATACAGGCAAAAGTTAGGGCCACATGGCCCTTTCTTACACTTAACCTGTCATAAATATAACACATATATTTTAACAATTACATTAATATACAACAAAGACAAAATCTAAATCATGGATACAGAAACATTAACAAAAGAAAATAACTTACATTTTAAACTGTACAAAAATAATCTTCCTGTCTCCCTCTCTCTCTCTCTCACACACACACACACACACACACACCAAGCACATCTGTCAGTGACCAACCAGCGTACAAGCCCCTAGGACAAACCAACCATGGCCATACGTTCAAAATTCATATTTTTTAGCGCTGCCACAAACCGGGAACGGTTATCAAGGGATTTGATGGCTAAGGGGAGGTCATTCCAAAGTCGGCAAGCGGTCACAACAAACGCCCCGTCGTAAACTGCAGTCCTATGATGAGGCATACGCAAAGTCAATGAAGCATAGCGTGAATATCTAACACTTTCTTCAGCTACAAACCTAAAATCATCTACAAAATATTTTGGAAAATTTGTTTTTATTATTGAATAGGTTAGCAAAAGAATTTTAATTGATCTAAGGTCACATAGCTTTAATAGTTTAGAATTAATGTAGTAAGGCGTGATACGCTCACTGCGTCTCAGATCATAAATGAATCTCAAGCAGTAGTTCTGAGCGCGTTGGAGAGCATCAGCAAGGTTTACAGTCATGTCATTGATCACAGTGTTGCAGTAAGTGAAGTGGGGGAAGACAAGTGATTTGACAAGATGTATTTTTATGTGCATTGGCAAGAAGTTTTGTAATTTTTTAAGTGCGTGGATTGATGCAAACACCTTTTTACGGATGTCTACGACTGCATCGCCCCAAGTAAGTGTCGAGTTCATAGTAAGTCCTAGGTTTTTGACTTTGTCACAGTAAAGCAGAGCTGTTCCATTTATATTTATTGGATTTGTCGTGAGAAAGTCAATTGAGTTTCGTAACCGTGGATGACAAATTATGATAGGTTTAGTTTTTTCGTGATTAAGTCTGAGTCCGTGTTTATCAGTCCAAGTAATGATTTTCTCAATATCTTCATTCACTCTCAGAACACTTTTGTTGATCTGTTTGGGTGAAAAATGTGTATAAATCTGTAAGTCATCAGCATACATGTGGTATTTACAGTGTGTGAGGACTGAGCTCAAGTCGTTTATGTATAGTACGAACAACAGAGGACCAAGGATGGACCCCTGAGGTACACCACTAGTAACTGTCTCCCAGTCAGATCGTAAGTCATCAACATCAACACACTGCCCTGTCTGACAGATATGATCCCAGCCAGTCCAATACACCATTTGAAAACCCTATGGCCCTTAGCTTTTCTAAGAGGAGCTTGTGATTTACACAGTCAAAGGCTTTAGAGAAATCAAATAAGGTAAGAATCGTTCCCTGCCGATGTTCCATTGCTAGTCTAATGTCGTCCGTCACTCGTAAAAGTGCTGTTTCTGTACTATGAGCTGCTCGAAAGCCAGACTGTGAGTTGCATAAGATATTGTTTTCAGTCAGAAAATCAGTTATTTGGCAGTGAACGATTCTTTCAAGGCCTTTAGATAATGCGGGCAATATACTGATCGGCCTGAAATCCTGGCAAGAAGCCGGGGCTGGGATCTTATTCAAGGGTCGAATCAGGGCAGACTTCCAAGAAATAGGGAATGTGCTTTGCCTTAAGGATGTGTTGAAAATATATGTGATAGTTGGGAGAATAGCAAAGAGAATGTCTTTAATAAAGCGGATTGGAATGCCGTCTGATCCGACAGCATTACTCCGAATACGTCGAATAGATTTCAGAACATCAGACTGCAGTACAGGTCTGAACGTAAACTTAGGATAACCCAATTCTTGAGCAGGGGAGTTTCTTAACTCAGTTAGGTGACTTTCAACTTGTTGTTGATTAATGCTTTGGCCAAAGGAAGAGAAGAATGCATTTAATTCATTGATAGGAATATTGACTCTCTGTGCGTCAGGTTGTTTCCCAAGCCCAAGACTTTTTACGTTACGCCATAACACTCTAGATGGTTGGTTCTTATTTTCAAAAAGCATTTAATTTTGAATTTCGCAAAAGTTGTTTGACTCTGTTACGTAAATACCGATACTCTTCCATTTCTACTTGATTCTGGGAACGCCTTGCTCTCCTGAAAAGACAGTC